CCAAGGTTTGGACCCAAATCGGTCTGACTTCCCTTGTACTATGCAACACATTGTCTTTTTTTTTGTCCTTTCAGTAGCCATGCAAGATAAAAATAATCTCCACTTTGCAGATGAGGAAACTGAGGCTCAGCAAGGTTAAGAGACTTGACAAGGTTGCACAGTTAAGGAGCAGGATAGGTGAATGTAATGCCATTCTGCTGTATTTCAGGTCTGTGTTCAAATCAACCCTACACAGACACTGGCTTGAGCGCTCATCTCTGATTTAATGCAAAGGGTCATGGGCTAGAGAAAATGGCCTCTAGCGGGCTTGAACTTTCAATACCTGCCTCTGCTTATGCAGAGCTGGGCTCAGGAACCCATTACTTTAAAGGAAAAGCCCAAGGAAACATTTCCCTTTGCTTGACTGACAAGTCAAAACAACCACACAGCCTCTGCCTGACCTCTGCTAGTAGGAAGATTATTTGTCTAATTAGTTAAACAGCCTTTACGCACATGTACATTTTTGAACCCTAATGAGCTGTCAATGTGAAAGGCTCGCCCTTGGCTGGGTTCTCCAGCTGATCTTTCCTTGCCTCAGTGGAAAAGACCAGTGCAATAAACAGAACCTCGTTTCCATGGAAGCTCACTCTCTGGCTTTTTCTTTCTAGCACTTGAAAAGGTAATTACTTGATTTCTTTTTATATTTTTGGATTTCATACAGTGGGGCTGTCAAACTCCTCAGCTGAGGATGGCCTTCTCTGTCATGTCAGGCTATTTTAGGGAGCTCTGTTACATTTCTCTTTTCATCCTTCCTTCAGATCATTAGCTGTCAGACAGCAGTGTCCGCCTTCCGGTCACTCCTGCTAATTAAAGTCTAACAGAGCAAAGGGACTCAACTCCAGAGAATTGGGAGACACAGAAAAGCAAGAGAAATTTGTCAAGAGGTGGGAGCCTCTGATCACATCAACTCCACTGTACAATGAGACCAAGACCTCACAACAATACCAGGAAGGGACCCTGTCCCATCTGGCACTTTCTCTATTGAACCTTTGATGCCCCATTGTGGCCCATGTCAGAAATGCAGCCAACAAGGACTGCTCCGACAACACAAGTCACAGCAACCACCATTTCCTAGAGGTTTGCTGCTTGCCAAGTTCTGGGCTGAGCACTGTGTATTCATTGTCTCAGTTAATTCTCATGACAACTTTAGTTAGTTAACCTGATTATTCAGATGAGAAGCCCTGAAGTACTGAGAGGTTAAGTAACTGGCCCAAGGTCACACAGCTACTAAGTGGCAGAGCCAGGATAAGGACACACCCATTGCTATCATTTCTTAGGGAGGAATCTGGCACTGTTACAAACTTGAAGAAATCAGTCAGTCATAACAAGTGACAGAAGGTCAACGTTTTCTGCCCCAAAATGGCAGCTTTAAATGTCAAATTGGCCCACATCTACAAGAAGTAAAGTGAGAATGCTGAGTTAGTTAATTATCAGCATCAATTAGAAAACCAGGCAAGGCACTTAAGAACATAATGTAGAGCAAGAGTTCTGGTTTGAGGCAGAGCAGACTCGGTTTCATGGCAAATATCACTTTACCAAAACTGGGATGCAAACTGGAACATGTTCCTCAAACTTACCAAGACTCAGCTTCCTCTGCAAAATGGCAATAAAATGGTACCTTCGTCATAAAGTTGTTGTTTCACTTGTGGAGTTTCCCAGCCTGCTCTGTGGAAGGTTTGTTTCAGTGGAATAATTGGGTAAAAGACAAGATGAAATGCGGTTAAATAGATTTATTTACTCTAGAATTTCTCAAATTCCCAATTGTGCTAATATGTATTATAAATTTTCAGAAGGAAGCAGCACTTCCTGACCTCAGAATTATTTTTCCTGCAGAAATACATGTTAGTATCTGCTTCTTGGTTTGTAAAACAGGTCCTAGGGCATTTGGTGTGTGGTACAGGCATGAGTAAATGCTAAGCCCCTCTCCTTTAAGCCCAAATCATATCTATTCTTGCTAGATTTAAGCTCCATAGAATCAGGGACTGGGTCTGTCCTATTCCTTTCTGTATTCTAATGTCTTGATATATCAAGATATTCCATAAAACATTAATGAGTGAACGAATTAATAAGATTACTAATGAATGAAAGAATAAATAAAGCTTAACGCAGATCTTGCCTGTTCATCATTGCCAGCGTTCTCTTCTCTGCTGTTTCCGGTTGCATTCTATAAGGCCAGTGGGAGAACTCAAATGCCCCTGGGAAACTTAGTGTCAGGGTTGGTTCTATGGGGCTGTGTTTTTCCTTTTCAGTTTTAGCCTGTGTGAGCACCATGTCTTCTGACAGAATTCCCCTAAACAAATCATTTAACTGCTAACCAACTTTAGCCCCTAAACAAATCATGTTGCTGCTTTTCAGTGAAGCATTCAAATGTTTCATTTGCATATGTATTTTGAACAAGACATTCCTGAGTGTCCTCAGTGGATTTGCACTTGGATCTGAAGAACTCTTGGGCTTTCCAAGGCAGTAAAAGAAAAGCAGCTCATTGGAGCTTAAAAACAACACTGAGAACACCATATTTCCCACGTGTTTCTATAAGCAAGAGGTGATAGGGAGGAACCTCTGGTCTGCAGTGTGGTTCTCCTTCATGTGGTTCTCTTTACGTTTGTTTAGAACAGAATTTCCAACCGGGGTTCTATGAACATTATGCAAAAAATAAAAATGTAAGTTTCAGTTAAAAAATGGTTGAGTTGGTCCAAGTCTAACAGATTTCCTTACTATAGAACTTCTCAGAGACTTGGTACATCTCAATGTTTCCCAAACTTATCTGACCACTCTTCTAGAGCCCTTTTGGAAGCTTTCTATAGAAGTATCTAACATTGTTGTGACACAGAACACCCTTTGGAAATTAGTGCCTTAGAATATATAGCCAAATGTTGCAACCCGGTTTTCATAATCTAGGAAATAGTCCTTCTCTCCAGAACTGCAGAAGAGAGAAGGTAAAGTGATCCTGCTTCCTGAATTGAGCAAGGTGATAAAAAATGACCTCTCCTAGTAGCCTCATGGTTTACAGCATAAACCAGATGGATTTTTAATGAGTTTTGTCAAAAAAACCAAAGAAGATTAATCATGATGCCTCAATAGCATGACCATAAGTGTTCCAGTGTTATTGTTTATATCACATTAGAAATAACTTGTTTTCTATATCATTTCATAACAGATAAGGATTTTTTTTGTAGCATGAAGCTTAAAACTTCTGAGTAAAATATGAATTTTAGAAGAAAGAGACTTAGAAACTCACATATCATAAGTGGACCTTGAACAATTATCATAATACTATAAGAAAAAATTGGCAATAGTGAGAAACTGCTGGAGGAGACGGGATTAGGAATCTACTGGGGAAGAAGGGGACACACCTCATCAACAAGGGTACCTGTATAATAAACATTTGTATACCTAACCCTGAATTGTACCCCACATTTTTAAAATAAAAAAATTAAAAGTAAAAGAAAGAAACTCATATTTCTTATGCAACTTTTTGTTATGAGTGCATATGTACTAAAAAGAGGAATGAAGCCCATTTTATTTGAACACCATTGTTCCCTAGTAAACTTTACTGTGAATAAATCATAGCTTGCTGTAAAAGCAAACTCAATAACAGTTTGAAGGATTGAAGGATAGTGCTGGGTTTACTTGGAAATAAAGAGATAACTTCAATTCATAAAACAGGAATGGTCTGCCACCCATTGTAAATACAATGTTATTGGAACATAGTGGCTCTCATCCACTTACAGGCTGTCTATGGATGGCTGTTTTTACTCTACAGTGGAAAAGGTGGTTTATCACAACAGAGATCTTAGGACTCTCAAAACCTAAAGTTTTGATTATAAATGGCCTTTTACACAAATGTTTGCTAATCTCTTTCATAGATTCATAGAAAGATGTGAAAGAGATGAAGTCTACATAACCAATCCCTTTATTCTTTTGATGGAAAAACTGAAACCAGAGTAGTTAGGGAATTGTCCAAGTTTATTTACGCTTGGGTGTTCTGATCCTTATATCCTAATAGCTCTCATTATTAGGAAAAACAAGGATAGATTTCAACTTAGATACCAACACCAACTGATTGGAAGTAGCCATCTGGTCATCTGGAGGGCTGATGAGGAGGTCTCAGGGTTCAGTGAGAAGGAATGCAATGACTAATTAATCTTCCAGAGGTGGAAGAGCAGGTGGACACATGCCATGTGTGCACAGTAGATACGTACTATGTCTGCTCCTAATATTTCTTTTTTTTTTTTTGAGTTGGAGTCTCACTCTGTCACCCAGAATGGAGTGCAGTGGCTGCTCCCAGCCACCGCAGCCTCAACCTGCTGCGCCTTCCGCCTCAGCCTTCCAAGTAGCTGGAATTACAGGCATGCACTACCACGCCCGGCTGATTTTTTTTTTTTTTTTTTTTATTGTAGAGATGAGGTCTCGCAGCCCAGGAGGGTCTCGAACCCGCGGGCTCAGGCAATCCACTCACCTCAGCCTCCCAAAGGTGCGGGATTACAGGCTGAGCCACCGAACCCGGCTTGCTCCTAATATTTCTAGTAGTTATATTGCTGTCTCCTTCCTTGTATATCTGCCGTGTAAGCACTTTCTTCATTGGGCCCAAACAGAGGTGCTTCATTGGGTGCTGATTAGAAGCACTGCAGCCTAGCAGTTCAGAAGTAATTGATGAATCTTGTGCAAGGTCATTCAAATGTCCCTCTTAGCAAGTGCCCATCACATCATGCTCTGTCCAGAAGAATTAATGCTGGATTTCACTTAACTGGATTTGTCAGTTACAAGAATATATCTACATCTATATTTATCTATATACCTATACCTATAAATATAGATGTAGATATAGATACAGATACAGATATAGATAGATAAATATGTCCATGGAACACAGAGTGGGGGGTATAAAATGGAAAGTCAAGAGTTTATTGGCTTTAGTGACCCAAACTGAAAGTCTCAATGTTTGTGCTTTTGTGCAGCTGGACAATCCAGATGAACAAGCAGCCCAGATCAGACGAGAGCTGGACGGACGTCTCCAAATGGCAGACCAAATAGCCAGGGTAAGGAAATGTTGGGGATGCTTGCTGGGGGCCAGGTCAAAGTCCGACTCAAAAACCTCCAAACAATGAAGTTGAGAGGCAAAGGGGAAGGAAGATAAGCACAGTCATCCTGGTTGAGCCTCAGCCTTCTCTCTCAAGGCAAGCTCTCCCAGAGATACCACATGCCTTTCCTATGCTCTAGTGAATAGCCAAACTCTGGCCTTCACCTTTCTTCTGACTTCCAGACTCATATTTCCAACTGTCTACTGAACATTTCCACTTAGACATTCCCCTGACATTTCAAGTTGAATGTCTTCCAAAGCTGCTTCCATATCTTCTTTCTCCCACCCCACCCACACCCCTATATTTACTCCTCTTCATGTGTTCTATATCCAATTACCATGGATTAAATCTCCAAGTCATTGTCGATTTCCCCCTCCTCCCTGCAACACTCCACACTCAATCAGTCACCCAGCCAGCCTCCACTGATAGCATCCCCAATGTGGGTCAGATAACTCTCTACTGCTTTCCAACACTACTACTAGTGCTTTAATCCAGGACCTCATCTGCAGCACCTGGATGTCATATAGCCTCCTAATGGATGTCCCTGGCTCTAGTCACCCACTTTCCTGACCATCCTGCACACAGCTGTCATTCTAAAACTCATATACGAACACCTTAAAGCAGAGCCTCAGAATCCTTCAATTGACTCCCACATTTCTTCCAGAACAAAATCTGATCTCTTTAGAATAATAGCCAAGTCTCATAGTCAACAGACTATACCCTTCCTTATAGCCTCACCTCCTACAGTTTTCTCACCAGAATTCCCCAGTCCAACTGCAGAGAAATTTTCTCTCTGAATATACCAGGCTCTTTCCAGGCTTGGTGTCTTTGTACCCACTGGTGCCTCAACCTGGAATGACCTTTCTTTTCCCCTCCACTTAGTAAACTCATCTACTCAGTCTTCAGTACTTGTCTTAAGGAATCCTCTCTGAGAGTTTAGCTGTTAATCCTTCTCACCTTTGTCCTCTTGCCATAACTCATATAGACCTTTATTATAGCAGTTCATTGAATAGTGATCATTTACATGTCTGAGTCTCCCAGTAGATAGAACTCCTCTAGAATTGACATTTCTTATTGTTAATGCCTACAACTAAGTAACACTTACTGATATTGCCATCCCTGCCATCCATGTTATAATTAATCATAGTTATGCTAGTCGTACTTATAGAGTGCTGACTGTGCCAAGCATGCTAAATGCTTTACGTGAACCATCTCAGTCAATCCTCAAAGCAGAATGTCCAAGGACATTTCAGGTGTCATTCTTGGTTTAGATGTGGGGAAGTCCAGGCTGCTCATGATAGGTGCTAGTGAAGAGACTGCACTGAACCCTCAACTCAAATCTATCTAAACGTCAGAACTGGCACTCGACTGAGGCACTCACCTTAGGTGCAAAATTCAAGGGCTCCCCAGAATGCAATTATGGATTTGGCTAAAGGTAGTGTGAAAGGTTCTTGCATTTTAAAATCCTGCTTAATGTGAGAGTAAACATTAATAAGTCTTTAGGATGTACTCATCCTGTAAACTCAGTGTCATTTATTAAGTAGATTATCCAGAAAATGGAGGTCATGTGGTCTACTCCCTTGTCTTTTAAACACAATTAGATCCCTAACTAATAAGTATTCATCCCATCTAAGTAAACCACACACTTCAAAACAAGTTCATGGCACCTTTATTTTAGTTGTTTTGTTTACTTGAGGTTCTACATGATAATTTAAGAAACTAGTATTAGGCTAATTTTAATCTTTAAAAGACCATAGATGAACAATTGGTATAAATAAGCCAAAATGCTCATCTCTGAACAGTAGATCCAACAACTCTCTCCTCCAGCCCATACCACTAAATATTACGAAGCTAAGTCGGATATTATTAACAACTTAGAACTAAGCTTTCTTGGATAATGAAATAGACAGTTAAAGTGAATCCTGGTTATTATTTACAGAGAATGGAGAAAGTATATGGAGGGTCCCCCAAACATTCAGGATATTGAGGATTTCTATGAGACAGATGGCCAATAGTCAGTTTCTGTTCTCTTAGAAACTGACTCAGCTGGGCTTGATGGCTCGGCCTGTAATCCCAGCACTTTGGGAGGCCCAGGCAAGTGGATTGTCTGAGCCTGAAGGTTTGAGACCAGCCAAGGCATACTTGGCAAGACCTCGTCGCTACAATAAATCAAAAATTAACCAGGCAAGGTAGCACACGCCTGTAGTTCCAGTTCTTGGAACACTGAGGCAGAAGGATCGCTGGAGCCCAGCAGGTCGAAGCTGGGGTGACCGTGAATGTGTCACTGCACACCAGCCTGGATGACAGAGTGAGACTCCAACTCAAAAAAAGAAAAAGAAACTGACTCTTATTTTCTACAGTGTTCATTTGCGCCAGTGGTTCCTTGCCACAGCTAGCTGGTCCTAGAGCTCTTCATCCAAGGGGAACCAATCATAGTTGCTAGTCTGCTCTGGCCACAAGTGACTGATTCAGAAATGGATACTTGGTGCAAATTAAATCAATGAATCTCTTCCCTGGGGTCAACAGAACTGTGTCTTTCAGTGGTAGAAAGATGTCTGAAGCCATGTTCAGTTCTTCCATGCAGGGAAAAGAAGATGAAGAATGAAGCCAACATACAGAGAGAAATAAGGACAGGGACTATACTGAGATGTCAAGGAGTCCTCAGGATGTTTGAGTCCCTGATTCCAGTTATTCTTGAACCTCCGTCATGGACCTGCTTTTCCCTCAGTTTAGTTAGATTCCAAGACAAATAAATTATACCTTTGCCAAAACCAATTTGGCCAATACTGAGGAAATTTTTGAAATATCTCATTCTCTAAAAATTAAATAAAATACTAACATCTCAGATATTGGCTAGTCCATGAAGAGATATTGAAACAAAGCACCCCTGCTTAGCTTCTTTTAGCATGCCCTGATTTTTTCTATTTCTAGCCTCACAGTGAATTTTAGTGAGGATGTGCAATTCAACCCATATGGCTGAATGTCAGCTCCTGTAAATATCATAACGAGAAATTCCTGGATATAGATGTCATCCATCATATATAATTCACTCTGTTCTCTGAATTAAAAGATGAGTAGAGCTCTTTTGATTGCAAATAAGAGGCACCAATTCAAGGAAGTTTATGTAAAAGAGAAGATTAGAAATCGAGGAGTAGCTCATAGAGCCCACGGACAAGCTGCAGCCAGAACCAGGAAAGAACAATCAGGGGCAACACAGTAGTCAGAACTTTCCCTCTACCTCCCATTTCTCCATGCTGTATTCATTATCCTTTCTTCCTTTGCAAGCAAGTTTTTTCTACTTCTCAGGGAGAAAGCATGGCTGTCTCATAGTTCCCTATGTTTCGGTGTGGCCAAATAGACAGTCATTAAGCCAATCAGCCTTCCTCTCAAGTCTTTTCTCTTTCTCTCCACTTTTGCCTTTTCTTACTACTGCCTGCAAATTTACAATTCCAGAATCAGGCCTTTGATTGGCTCAATTCTGATTAAGGGCCAATACCTGGTACAGTCAATACTCCATGGTGAGAAGGGGGTAAGAGCCTCATTGAACATTTGGATATATGTTACTTAGGGTGAGGGTGGGAAGAAGTAGTGATGTGGGTGGATTAGTCATTATGAATTGAAAGACACCCCAGATGTATTCAACAGCAATAATGATTACAGAGTGTTATCCTATGTGCCAGGATCTCTTCTAAGAATTCTGCATTTGAGATTCTGTCTAACCCTCCAATAACTTTATGAGAAAGATGCTATTATTATTCCCACTTTATAGATGAGGAGTTACAGCAGAGGCATTAGAGAACTTGGTAAAGTCACTCAGAATCCGCACTTTTAACCAGTGTGCATACTACCATTACAAAATACCTTCCCAAATATAGGCCCTCGTTTTCCTCATCATCTCAGTCCAAAGATCCACTGTGCCCTTCACCCAGGCTTTCACTTTACCTCATCCTGATCACTCTCCTGCCAATCAGTTCTTTATTAAATGTATAAGACACCACCTGTGCCATTTCTCATAAACTCTCCCTGAGACCAGTGGTGGATAATCCTTGGTGTAGCATTAATTCTCCTCAGTTTAGGCAAATCAAAGAGTTTACATGATACGCTGAACTCACACAGCTAGTAAGCAGAAAGCAAGTCCTATAATTCCAGGTTCGATGCTATTTCTTTTGAATACTCAGATGAGAGGCAGGAGAAAATTACTCCAGGACAGGACTCCCCTGCCACCTCCCCAGTCCTCTCTCCTTGGTGGTTGCCCCTCCTGGAAATGGCTTTCTTTCCTCCATTAAAAGTTGTTGCGTATTCCCTTTAGTTGGTCCAGAAGCCCAAATGAATCAGCAGTGCTAGAACAGGCTCCTGATATTTAGAATCCTCTTTACTTAGATTTTTTTTAGAATCTGGAAAAGATACTGTAGGGACCCTAGTCATTCTGCCAGTAGCATTCTCATCATCACACACTTCCACAGAAAACTGTGTGTTTGTCCACTCTTCCTCCAAGGGAAGGGGACAAGAGCAAGCCGACTTTCCCATGCCCACAGCCTTGCACTGTAATCTATCAATTCAATCACACCAACATCCCATGAGTCATCAGGCAGAGACATTGCACAAGAACATCAGACAGAAATGGTCTTACTGTGAACATCAGTGATACTGCCTTAAAAGTTCCAGGAAGAGATCTGAATGCATTTTTTAAATCTGGTAGAAAAGACTTCATAATCCCTGTTCAAACATTTTCCCAAATCCTCTCATGTTGATATTAAAATGTTCCCAAATTTCACCCAGGAATTAAGTCTAAGTTATTTAAATTATGTGATCAAAAGTTGACATTAAAGCTTAAACAGGCAGATTGTGGCATTAGTGCTGCTGTGATATTTGCCAGTTCTTTTGGACACATTTTAGGATAAAATTCCAAAATTCTTGAGCTAATAATTTAAGAAAAATAATACAGCTTTTAGAATATC